CGTTTCGATCCGGATATTGTTTATTTAATTTTACAACAAATTGTTAACAAACATTGTTTTGGAGAAAAATACGATTCTGTTAAATCTCCATCGAAAACTCTAACAATAGCTGGAGAAATATTACAACAAGTTAAAAAATTAAATTTTGACAGGTTGTGCTTTTATTTATTTATTTATTATTTAATTATTTTTAAATTTTTAATTGTTATTAATTTTAAATAAATTTTTAATAAAAGGTACAGGATAATAGTTTACGTACAATTGGGTGAAAATTTTCAACAGGGATTTGAATCATCATTGAAATATTTATGGGATGATAAAAGGGATTCATTTACTGTTTATACTCTTCGTGGTAAAGAAATTTTCACGACGGCCATTTGTTATGGAATTTATAAAGATTAAAATTTTCATTTAAATAAAATTCACATTAATTAATTAATTAATAAATTTATTTATTTATTAATAAAATATCAATATAATCAATCGATTTCCGTACGTTTTTTAAAGCATTTTTATTAATAATAATAATAATTTCAATAAGCATGCTTAAAACTTTTCTTTTTTAAAAATCCTTTTCCCCAAAAAAAAAAAAAAAAATACAATTTTAAATACACGTGCACACGTGCACACACACACACAAGCGCATAATTTCAGCACCCAGCATAATTTTTCAATAAGGCTTAAATGATTATTAAAATATTATTATTATTATTTTTAAACTATTAATTTATAAATAATATTTTTTTTCTATTCTTTAAATTTTTCTCACGGGTATTTTAATTATTATTTAAATTATTTATAGAAAAAGTAATAATAATAATAAATATTTTTAATAAACAATAATAAAAATCACAATTATGTTAATAAATTATTAATAAAATTTTATTATTAATAATACGAGAAGAAGACTTTTTTTAAAGTAATAAATAATTTATTTATTTATTTTTTATGTAAAAAATTTGATCAAAAAAAATGTGCGTGTGACACACACACTATTTCGTGTGATTACTTTTTTTTATTTCAAAATAATAATTTTATTGTTTTTTTTTTTACAAAATTTAATAACAAAACATTTTTTTCAAAAAAAATAATAATAATAACAAAATTATAAAGAAAAATTCTATAAAAAATACTACTTTGTAACAAAAAAAAAGTAGGAAATATATAAAAAATATATTTATAATAATTTATGGTATCGAAAAAAATATAAAAAAATAAATAAATTCAGTCAGTCTTTTTCTCAAAGGTAACAAAACAAAAATAATAATAATAATAAAAATTATTCCAACTAAATAATACAAAAAAAAAAAAAAACAAAAAAACGAGTCGTTGATTTTATTTTTCTCCTATTTTTTCTTGTTTGAAATCTAAATAAATTTTTTTTTTAAAGACAAAATTTAACAAAATTGTTAATATAATAATAATAATAATAAGAATTTTTAAATAATTAACTTCATTAATATAAAATATAAAAAAAAAAAAAATTGTGAAGGTTTTTTTTTGTTGGGTTATTTCATATTAACAAAATTTGTTTTTCTTATCAAAATTTCCAACACAGTTTTATTATTATTATTATTATTATTTGTGTAAATTTGAACCGTTTTTTTTTTTTGTTCGATATTGAAATATCGTATTAATAAAATCAATAAAAAAAAAAATTTTGTTTACATTTAAAGCTCACATTTATCACAAAAACTCACTAATTTTATATATAATATTATTCAAGCTTAACATTTTAAATACTAAAAAAAAGATTCAATCTTAACGTTTAAACACAAAAAATATATATAATAATATAATTAAGTAAACTTTTAATATATATATATATATATATTAAGCGTAAATAAAATTATTGTAAAAAAAAATTTTTGGTTTCATTTGGTTTCGATAAAAAAAAAAAAAAAAAAAAAAAAAAAATAGAAAAAGGAAAAATGAATTCAAAAAGGGGGAATAGTAACATTTTGTTAAATGTGTTTACATTTGTCAACAAACAAAAACAAACTAAACTAAACTAAAACTAATATACATATATTATTTTATTGTACTTTTTATTTTTGATGCAATCAATAATTTATCCAATATTGAAAATGCAACAAAATTTTTTTTTGTGCCTTCACATAAACAATTATTTTATTTATGTATATACTGTAACGGTAAATTCAATAAATATTCTTTAAATAAATTATTTTTTTTATAAAAAAAAAAAAAAAAAAAATCTAAAAATATTATTAAGTGATTAATATACCAAAAATTAAGTAAGGCACGGTAAAATAAAAAAAAAAAAAAAAAGGAAAAAACATTTTTTTTTTTTTTGAATACAAAAAAACTACGAGAAAATTCGTTTAAAAAAAAATATGCAAAATTGGCAGCAGGTTTTTTTTTTTTTTTTTTTTTTTTTAAAAAATGTTTATTTTTAAAGCTTGCTTCAAAATTATTCGGGCTGAAAATAAAAAAAAAATAAAATAAAATCGTTATTAAATAATAAAAATAATATTGTTTTTTTGAACAAAAATTTTCCCATCCCTTCCCCCCCATCCCATCTCTTACCCTATTAATGTCTTTTTCTATAAATAAAGCATCCGGGAACAAAGAAGCAAAATATTATTATTATAACGGCCAAAAGAGATATGGCGCCAAGGACTCCCAATATGATATACATTAAATAATATTCGAAAATTGTGCAACAGTAAGGTTTTCCGCTCGATGTTTTACAACAATATTCTTTTCCGGAATCTTCAAATGGTAAAGGACATAACATGTTAACAAATTCTTCGAGATAACCGCCATCGGAAACGCATTTCATTCCTACAAAAAAAATCATACAAAATAAAAAAGTTTAGATATTTAATTTGGGGGTAGGGGTGGGGGTGGAATAAGTGATAGACACCAAATCTATCATTTTTAAAGTTAAGTATTTTATTTTTTTAAAGAAAATCAATCGAATTAAAAAAAATTACCATCAATAAATTGGTAAAATTTTTAAAATTGCTGCCAACTTTGCACAAAAAAAAAAAAATTCAAAGAGAAGATAAATTTTAATTAGAAAAACACTTTGACAAAGTATTTACCTTTTAATTTCACTTTAAAAACAGTACAAGGGAGTGATAGGAGATTTTAATGAACAATCCAACAAATTAGTATGAATCTGTTAAACAAAATAAGGTTTAAATGACTGGAAAGAAAGAAAAAAAAAAAAGGAATAAATTAGTAAAAATGATTACAAAGGAAATTGTTAAGGATGTCATACCATGAACATCATTTTTTTTTTTTAAGGAAAAACAATATTGTACTGTTTTTTATATTTTATTACCAAAATATAAATTTACTTTTTTTTTTTTTAAATTATAATAAAAAGAAAATTATTGAAATTGGTAAAAGTTAATATATCAGAAAATTAAAAATAAATTATTGGTATACGATTTATTTTTTACTTTTTTGACAACCTTTTTTGTTTTAAAGCTTTTTTAGAAACTAGATAAATTTAAAAAAAAAAAAAATGATTGCTCTACTGATCAATAAAGCTTTTTATAAATATATACAGATTTCCCAGAGAACATTCAATGATTTTATTTATATCAAAAATGCTCAAAACGTTTTATAAATGTTTTCTTCGAATTGTTCTCTTTAACGATTATGGAATGATTGTATAAAAAATGATCAGAATTATTTTAATCATTTTTCTCTCTGCAATCTGGTATATCTGGTAATTTTAATTTTTATATTCTGTAGTGCTCATATTACTGTGTCTTTAACAATGATTTGCCAATAATGAAATTGGCATATTCATTACTTATCTTCCATGTCATACTTTTAAAATTACTGTTTTGTGTTTGTGGGCTTTCAGAGCTTTATTATTATAGTGGAGTAATGGATACTTCTGTTTTGAATTTTTCAACACACAGCAAGAAGCTTTTCAAGCAGGTTTTGTATTACTTTTAATTTGATTTGATCATAAAACATTATTATCATTTTTATTATATTTATATTAAAAAAAAAATTTGAGTATTTGAACCGGATATATTTTTTTTTTTTTAAGCCAAATAAAATTATTAATCATGCTCAATAATTAGAAAAAATTGAAAATAAAAATAAAAATACATCTTTTAAGCTTAATAATTAAAAAAAAATCATAGACAGAATTTATTTTGAAATAATTTTTACAAAAATATTTTATTTGATAATAGTGAGCAAAACAACAGCACAGGTAGCCACATATAAATAAGATATACTTTTTTACAAGGTCATTTTAAAAACTTAAAATTAATGAGCTCACCATGAGTCAAAGCAAAGCATGATGTTATTAACACGAGGTTAAACAATGAGATCATCTTTTCCAAAGTAGAGAGCCAGAAACACCAATTGTAAATGAAATATATAAATTTTTTTTAAAAATTTTATTATTTGTTATTATATTTAGGGAAAATAAAATTTGATAAATTACACGCTGGGAAATAACAATAACTGGAAGAAAATAAGTGAAAAAGTGTAGGTAAATTTAAGTTAAAAGAAAAAAAATAAAGTGAACTATTACACAATAAGTCTACAAAGCAAATATCAATATACCAACTCAAGCTGAATTAGGGCGGGTGTAGCAGGCTTGCAACGTAATAGAAAGTAAAAAAATTCCCAATTATTACTCAAGACAATATGATCATCAAGTTACGCACAATACGTAATCTCGTCATTAAGGGTCAGTAAATTAAATTCGTATTTTTAATTGAAGTTTTTTTTATTTTTTAACGTGAGTAAAATTATAAAAACTAATTGAATTTAATAAATTTTGGCCAAGACGCTTGAAATAATAAAATCTTAACGATAGTAATCTAGTACCACGATCATTAAAGTGTTTGGGAGTTGTCATTCGTCGCAAGCATCAGACGAAACAGGCTAAATGGCAGCAATTCGAAAAAAATTAGTTATTGTTGGTGATGGTGCATGTGGTAAAACATGCCTTTTAATCGTATTTAGCAAAGATCAGTTTCCTGAGGTTTACGTACCTACGGTTTTTGAAAATTATGTGGCTGATATTGAAGTCGATGGAAAGCAGGTAGAATTGGCCTTGTGGGACACGGCAGGACAAGAAGATTACGATCGTCTTCGACCGCTGTCATATCCTGATACTGATGTTATATTAATGTGCTTCTCAATTGATTCTCCGGATTCTTTGGAAAACATACCAGAAAAGTGGACACCCGAAGTAAAACATTTTTGTCCAAATGTTCCCATCATTCTTGTGGGCAATAAGAAGGATTTAAGAAATGACCCGAACACAATTAAGGAATTAGGAAAAATGAAGCAAGAACCAATGAGGCCAGAAGAAGGTCGTGCTATGGCCGAGAAAATAAATGCTTTTGCTTACTTAGAGTGCTCATCTAAGAGCAAAGAAGGTGTAAGAGAAGTATTTGAAACTGCTACTCGAGCTGCTCTTCAAGTAAAAAAGAAGAAAAAGGGAGGTTGTTTCATTTTGTAAGCATAAACATATGCTCTTCTGATCAGCTTTGGTTGTTTCTGTGCTCAAAGCACAAATCCTTGCTGTTATTTAAAAATATTCATATTAAATGTGTTCGCTCAGTAAGCCATAATTTTTTAAAATGTTTAATTTTTATCAATAACCCAAAACAGGGTTTCCCAATTTTCAAATTTTAAGAAGGACCTTTTGTAATGATTTTACTATAAACATCCATCCTCTTAAATTATATTTTAGATATTAATAAAAAGTAGTTAATTTCAAAAATTATCAATTCGTCAACAATTTGATAGTATTCAATAAAAAAATTATTGTTATTTAAAGAGCTAACATGTTAATATGGTATAAATTATTTTAAATGATTGATTGAAATTTTTTTTTTTTTTAAAATTTATTCAATCCATCAGTGTTTTTTGGTGGCCTGTTGTTGGGAATCCCTGTATTTAAAAAAATTTTTTGCATACTATGATTATTTATCCTACAATAGGACTTTGTCATATATTAAATTTAATTAATATAATCTACAAATGTTAAAAATTTTATAAAACTAAAACAAACTAAGTTTTTTTTTTGATTTATATATGAATAGTTATTTAGTTATTGTAGTCATTTCCTCAGTCATAGTTTTTAAGCATTTTATTAATATTGGCAGTTTTTTCTTTGTAAATTTTTTTTTTGCTAATTCTACACACTCGAATGTGTGTTCGATTTTAAAATAGGAATTCATTTGTTTACAAAAGCAGTTTAAAGGATTTTCTTGTTTACATTTTTTAAGCTTATTATTATATTTTTTATTTTATTTTATTTTATTATTATTATTTTTTTTTTATTTTTTTGCAAACAATTATAATTTAATTAATCTAACATGGGTGCCTTTAAAATATTTCAAAAAAATAATTTTGTTTAAAGTATTCATTTTAAATAGTGTCATTATTTGAAACAGGTCACAAAAAAAAAAAAAAAAAAGTAATAAAATAATTTTTTTATTTGTAAAATAAAAAAAAAAAAGGATTGTTTCTGAACAAAATTTAAATATATATATATATTATGATATACATTGAACTTAATTTAAAAAAAAGCATAAATTTGATTACGATGGAAAGATTTTCGAATGTGAAAACAATTTATTTATAAAATTCAAAAGTTTTCGTTAATAATAATTGAAATTATATTATGTAAATTTATGTGGTTCTGTATTGACAAAATTTATATTTCAGACATGCTACTTGTATCCATTACAAAAAAAAATTTTCTATAAATAAATCAATTTAAAATAATTTTTATTAATTAATCAAATGCCCTACATTAAGTAATTTAGTGGCCTGAATTTAAATATTTACTTATTAAAGCTTTAAAGCATTTTAACCATTGAGTTTTTCTATTAATCGATAAATAACTGAATGTATAGCAAAAAATAATAATAATAATAATAATAAAAATATTTGGCTACTTCTTGTAAAAAGTATATAATAATAATAATAATATAATGTTTTTAATTCTTTATTAAATTAAAAATTTATAAAAAAAAAAGTGTTTATGATTAATTTACTTATACAGGCCAAAGCCTCTCAACCGAAGCTTGTTTTGTGGTTTGTATTCATTTTTTTTTTTTTTTTTTTTTTTTTAGATATATTTTTCTTAGGTTATAAAATTCAGTAAAAAAAAATTAGTGTAATATTTTCATGAAGAAATGCCCATATGTAATTTTTATTCTATTTAAAAAAAAAAAGGAGGAAAAAAAAATCACCATATTTATAAATAAACATATATATATATATATATATATATGAAAACTCACACACACATACCACACACAAACACTTATATATATATATATATACATATAAGTTTATGTACAACTTTGTGAAAATTTCAACAAAAAAAAATCATTTTTTGTTTGTTTTATAATTAAAAAAAAAAAAAAAGTGAAAAAAAATTTTTTTAATGGACTCAGTTTATGTACACTTTTATATTAAATAAAGCATTTTTTCATGATTAGTTTTTTTTTTTCTTTTTTTATTGTGATTATTATTTAAATCTTTAATTTCCTTTGATATATCATATTTTTAACACTTATTGATTAATGTAATGTTATACATAATTTTTTTTGTTAGCCAGGTTTTTGAAAAAGTTTAGTTATGTAAAATAGCAATCAAATATAACAGAGTTAAGGTGATTTATAAAATGGCATAAATTTATTTAATTATATTGATAATAAAAAGGAATTGTTAGAAAAAGACAAATTTAAATTTTTCCTTAGGACGTCATTGTTCAAGTCAATGGTGTTATTATTATATTATTGTTACTAATGAGTCAGAGTCTGAGTCACAATTTGGTCCATTCATCTTTAACAGTTAATTTTCAACATTAATTTTTTTTTTTTTTTCCTGAGAAATTATTAAAAATTATTTCTTTCTTATATGATTAATTTTTTTACACACTGATAAAAATAAAAATTTATAATCTTTAAATTTGTTTTTAGTTGATAAATAGAAATAATTTTTTAAAAAAAATTTATAATTACTTTGGATTTATTTTTAATACTAATGGTTTAAGAAATGTATAACAAAAACTGTAAAATATGAAAAACTTATAATAAAAAAATAATTTTTTGTTTTTTTTTTTTAAATTCTTTTTAAAATTGTAAGTTGATTGCAATTTAAAAAATATATGAATTTATTAGTCTAAAAAAAAATTGAAATGATTTAATGATATTTAATTGGTTTTATTAAGTAATCAGTAACATTAAAAAAATGAAAAAAATGTCTTTAGAAAAAATTAATAAAAATATCGTGTAAAAAATTCATCAGTCACCATGCCAATGACCGTCCATTTTGCCGCAAACCATTAGAATCATTCAAAACATAAGCAATGTTGTTGTGATATTAGGATAATTTTTCCTGTTTTTTTTTTTTTTTTTTAAACTTTTTTTTTTTTTTTGGGTTATGAAATGATTACATTTTCTTAATATAATTTTTTGTAATGTATTTCCCAATAGGATGGCCAAAAGTTTTAAAAATACCAGAATCTGGGCGATCAGAATTAAAGCAAGTTATACATAATCGAGATAAAGTTTTGTTTGCTATACTGACAAGTGATTCGTTGTCAGTTTGGTTTTGCAAGGTAAATAACAATATGCGTAATTTAAAATATGCCAGCATTTTTTTACACTTTTAATAATATATTTTCAGCCATGTGTATCTATTGGAACTTATAAAAGATCAGCTCAATCCTTAGAAAAATTTGGGTCTAATATATTAGTACAATGGCGCCCAGATTCCACTATGTTGGTTGTGATAGTAAGTGTCAAAAAAATTAATGTTTTTATAAGTAAATAACAATTTGATAATTAGAAATGAGAACAAATACATTAATCTTTCATAAAACTTTAATAAACTTTCTGTACATTGTCTTGAAAATCAATCATTAATGTAAACATCGAAAGGAATAGCATTAGATTACTTAATTTAAATTGTGCTTGATAAACTATTGAATCTTAAAAAAAATAAATTAAAGAGAATTATTCTTGTATTTATATTAAATTATAGACCTCTGGTGGATACTTACTCTTTTTCAAATTGGATGTGGGAAATCAAAAACCTCTTTACGAACAAATAGATTCGCCACAACCAAATCTGAGAAGAGATTCGGCAGAATTGTATATGAAAGAGGTTATTCCACCTTTGTCTCTATCATTGGTAAGTAATCTATAAAAGTTATTTTTTTTAGCATATAAAGCTTATTTGAATTTCTTTATACAAGTTTATTAAATTCAAAATCAAAAATATCATTATTCTTAATGAATTTTTTGTTTTACAGGCCAACTCAGTTTGTGTAGATGGGAAAATATCAAATATAATTTGCATAAGAGATGAATTAATGGTTTCTACCAATCTTGGAAAAATACTCAGGTACAAATGGGAAGGATGTCAAAATCTTGATTATTCATTAGATTTAAAAAGAATTCCTTTTTGTATTGATCAACAAGTATCCAAAGGTAATTATTATTATTAAATTTTTTTATTTAAATGTAGCTTTATAATATTTTAAAAAACTTATTCTTAAATTTTGTATTTTTATTTTACATTTTTCTAAGCTATTCCCATTGTGGAAGAAAAGGTTTATGTTGTCGATATTGAATACTCACCTTTAGTCGGAGGTTTTGCCATTGTTTTAAGTGATGGCAGAGCAGCCTTTTTAACAGCTTCTTCATTAAAATTTGATCCTAACGTAAGTTTATTTAAAAAATTTTAATTTTAAATAATTTGTTGTAAGTTTTTTTATTTTTTTTTTATTTTTGTTTTTTTCTTTTAGCAAGTTCAAGGAATTTGGGCTCAAAATATTGAAGATGCTCTTTGTGCCAGTGTAAATCATAAATTTAGATTAATTGCTTTCGGAAGAAAAAAGTAAATAATTTTTTTTAAGTTTATTAAAATTCTAACTTTTAATTTTATGGTATTAACTATATTTTTTTTTTAATAGTTCACAGGGAATAGTTTATTGTATAGATGAAAGTACTGGTGGTCTTGAGGTTTCCCATCAAATGATATTGTCAAGTAAGGATTATCCTGGAGAACCTGGAGGAGTTCACTCAATGAAATGGACTCCTGATGGATGCGCTATAGCAGTTGCATGGTCAAAAGGAGGATTATCCTTATGGAGCACTTTTGGAGCCCTTTTAATGTGTACATTAGGTAAATTATAGAAAACAAGTTTAAAAAATTTATAAAAATGAAATTATTTATGCTGAAATTATGCTTGATTTTAGGGTGGGATTATGGGCTTCATGCCGATATATGTAAAGCTAATCCGTTAAACATAAAAAGCATAGAGTGGTCTGCTGAGGGATACCAACTGTGGTTACTAAATCACACTTGTCATTGCAATGAAAAAGAAACTGATGAAGTTGATAACATTTTACAACTTGATTTTGTTAAAAGCACTCTAAGTGTTAATCCAAGCATGGTAATTTATATATACAAGTTAAATGCAGTGAATCTTAGGTGTCATTATTTGTGAATGAACTTTTAAAAAAACTTTTCAGAGTTATTCTCAACACATACTTCTTCAAGGAGAGGATAAGTTGTATATTAATTTATGTGATAGTACATTAAAAGGACTCAGCAAAAGAGGAAGAGAAACGTCCAACAGTAGATTTTCTTCCGACATGATTGAAACTCATAATTGTATTGGTAGAAACTCGTTTATGGATTCAAAGCAATGGATCATAATACCTTTGCCTGCTACTTATTCAGCAACAAATTGGCCAATTAGGGTGAGTACTCTTGTAAGGGTTCAGATTTTTTTATTTTTTTAAACGGTAAAAGTGTTTCCAAATAAGACAAAATGTTTTAATTTTAATAGTATACCGCAATTGATTTAGAAGGGCAAAATGTTGCTGTTGCCGGTAGAACAGGATTAGCTCATTATTCTTTATTGACAAGGAAATGGAAACTTTTTGGTAATGAAACGCAAGAAAAAGATTTTGTAGTTACAGGTAAATTTAACATAATGTTCTTAATTAAAAAATTCTTTTGAATGCAGTGTTGTGAATAAAAAAAATGTTGTAATTAATTGTCTTTCAGGTGGATTGTTGTGGTGGAATACCTTATTAGTTATGGGATGCTATAGTATTATAGAAAACAAAGATGAAATTAGGTTTTACCCTCGAGATACTAAATTAGATAATGCTTTTTTAAAAAATTTAAAAATTTCTGCACCTTTATTATTGCTCAATATTTTAAGAGATAAGTTAATTACTTTCGGAGCAGATTCCCAAATAAATATATATAGTTTAACAATGAAAGATAACGACTATTTAAATCGTAAGTTTAATTTTAAATTACTACTACATTGGAAATTTAAAATTTTTTATTTTACTTCATGTATTTTTATTTAAGTCGACGTATTAATTTTTCAGTCAGCAAAAGTATTAGTATATCCGTTTTGCAAAGCATCGACATTGGTGCTCTTTGCGTTCATCCTGCTTGCGTTGTATCCGTAACATTGACTCAATTAAGAACAGAAACTAGTCGCCTTACTTCAAAAGATGCCGAAAGCATCATTTTGAACATTAGCGGTCGTTTGCTAATGGTTCAGAGAGAGCTTAAACATTCCCCAGACAGTGATAATAGTTCGGTAAGTATCATGCAAACACTCGTAAAATAAATAAATAAACCTAAATGTTAATTATGTCATTTTTAAAACATTGTCGTAACTTTACAATTTTTTTAACTTTTAGTTTTCTCCCTCGTGCACGACACCCACTGTGCTTGCTTCCTGCGTTGAAAATGTTTGGTTACCCAGAAAATCTAGAAAAGAAAAACCGCATTTGACGGAGGCTTTATGGTTGTTTTGCGGAGCCCACGGAATGCGAGTATGGCTTCCTTTGTTTCCCCGAGATTCGGATAAAGCTCATACATTCATGTCAAAAAGAATCATGCTACCTTTTCAATTAAAAATATATCCAATGGGTAAAACTTTAACTTATTATTATTATTATTATTTTTATTTCGAGATTTATAAAAAACATTTTAATGAGCTTATTTTGTTTTATTTTTTTCAAAGCGATTCTCTTCGAGGAAGCCATTTTACTCGGAGCCGCCAATGATACCACTCTTTACACTTCCGATTCTAATTCTATATTTTCAATTCCATTTTGTGTTCTGGAAAAAACGGTATGAATGATTTTATTAACTCGATTTCAATTTTTAAAGCCAGCTCTCTAATTTGCGATTGATGTTTTTTTTTTAGAGTCAGGTGTACCTGCATCAAATACTGCGTCAATTGATTCGTAGAAATTTAGGTTTTCACGCTTGGGAAATAGCGAGAAGTTGTACAAATTTACCCTATTTTCCACATTCACTTGAACTTTTGCTACACGAGGTAATTTTTTTTATTATCAACATTTTTACTTTAAATAAGTTTTTCGTTACTAGAATAATCTCATAATTTTTTTTTTTTTTGAAAGGTACTCGAAGAAGAAGCTACGAGCAAAGAACCCATTCCGGATGCATTAATGCCTAGTATTATAGAATTTATACAAGAGTTTCCCGTGTATTTACAAACCATTGTGCAATGCGCGAGAAAAACTGAAATTGCATTATGGCCTTATTTATTTTCTGCTGCAGGAAAACCTAAAGAATTGTTTCAGGAATGTATGACAAGGAGACAATTGGATACTGCAGCATCATACTTAATAATATTGCAGGTAGCCATATTTATTATAGTTGATTCGAGATTATTATAAAGTCAACTACTGAATTATTGCAAAAAGTTTAAGAGATTTAATTCGACTTGCATAATACCAGAATTTTTTTTTTTGTTTTTATAGAATTTAGAACCTTCTTCTGTAAGTAGGCAGTATGCGACTCTTCTGCTAGATGCAGCTTTAGAAAACTGTAAATGGGAATTGTCTAAAGATTTAGTTCGATTTTTAAGGGCTATAGGTAAGGGAACAAAATGCTTTTGTGAGTAAACAAAAGACTTTTTTTTTGTTTTTTTTTTTAATTACAATTTTTAAATTAGATCCAAACGATGTTGAATCTCCTCGTGCCTCGTTTAACATGCCGTCCAAATACGGAGTAACCGCTCAAGCTTCTCAATTAAAACCCAACGAAGAAGATTTATCATTAGTGTTAGGAACCATGCAAGTCTCCAGAGGAAGAAGTTACAGTACTACAATAAGTCCAAAAGTGCAATCAAGCGAAACTTCTTCTCATGGTGGTTCGCATAAGGAAATTTTTAGAACGAACAGCAATAATAGTGCCAATGAAGTAGAAAAAGCTAATTCAATTAAAAGAAAAAAATCAGTACCGGCTGGAAATTTAGATAGCAGGTATTTTTTTGTGCTTTAGCGGTTTGTTGTCAATTTGTATTTATTTAAATTATCGATTATCGATTGATTATTGATTGGATTTAAATAGGGAAACTTCGGCCGAAGAATTTTTTATCGATGTTATACTACAACGACACGCCAGACGCTTATTATCAACTCAAAGACTTTTAGATTTAGGTCATTTTGCAGCGCATTTGGATTTTCATCCCGTTTCCTGGTTGACGAGAGAGAGGAACAGAGCAGCACGTGTGGAAGATTTCGTCGGAGCTCTTAAACATCTTCATTCCGATTTCAATTGGCCTTATCCGGTGGTAAATCATTCGGGGATTTTTCCCTGGCAGAGAAAAATGTCCAGTACGTCTGGTAATTATTTTGATTTCATTTGATTAAATTATTGATATTTATTATTTTATTAAACATTACTGGAACGAATTATAAAATTTTTTAGGTTCCTCTCCTGGATTGTCACCCCTCATAGAGGATAGAATGAAGTCAATAACCGATACAGGCACGAAAAGTAGTCAAATTGGAGATAGCGGGTATTTAAGTCATCCGAGCGGTTTTGGTCATCAAGCTATTTTTAATCACACACCGAGCATATTAGCCAGTGAAATTCCAATTAATCAAATGGTATTTTACTTTTTTTATATATATTTTTAACCTTGTAATGACCTCTACCAGAAAAATTTAATTCAAAATAATTAATTTCAGGTCGAAGCGCAATTAATGCCGCATTTGATACATGAAAATTCCAGCATAACCAGCGAAGAAAGTTCCGTTTGGGGAGGAGACGATAGAGATCAATACAATCTTGAATTATGTAATAATGATTTGAAAGTTTTGGAACAGTTATCACAAGTGGCCAACAAAGGAAATCCAAAAGCTGAAGTGCAATTAAGGTATGAATTTTAACTTGTAGTAAATTTATTCGATAACAACATGGTATTTTGTAACTTTTTACTCGAGCTCTTGGATTGTGTCGACAGATATTTGTTACAAGTAATGCTTGAAGCTAATTGTCTCGAATGGTCAATAATAGTGGCAATTTTACTGCACGATGCAATGGCGGTTTTCAGAGTTACAAACGCTGCACGTTCTCCAGATCATAGTTTGTCAGCCGTTCAAAGATTAAGAGATGGGATATTGTCATTACTTCAGTGGACTAATACGCAATGGTAACATTTAAAAAAATTAATTAATCATGTATATATTTTTTATATTTGATTTAAACGAAATTTATTTACATGATTTTACATTTACATTTATTTCAGTTTGGGATACAAGCCTTTCATGGTAACAATACAAAATCAAATAAGCGTTTTGAATAAGATTTTACTAATAAAAGAACATCAAGAAAGGCAAATAAATGTAATAAACGAATCTAGAAAAACTCCTCCGGGGAAAAGATCTAGAAAAACAAGTTCAAATCAAGATAGTACAAATATGTTGCAAAATTTGACTGGTCTCAACAGCGAGACTTGCTGCGATAATATTCCCATCCCTGTAAAAACAAGCGAAGAAAAATCAAATAAAAGCTGTAAATCAAATGGTCCATCAAGCGAAGAAAGTTTTAAAAAATCAGATTCTGTGAGTTTACCTGATGTTGAAGAAATATCTAAAGAAATTCAACAATCATCTCAGTGCATTGTATCATAGTTCCTCATCGATGAATTTTCAAATCATTATTTTTAAAGGTTTCAGTTAACTTAAAAAAAAAAAAAAAAAAAATTCTAACCATGTTGAAATTATTATCCAATGTTTTTAAAAAAAGAGATTTTTACATTTACTTGTTAGCTGGCTAATTTATTAACAAAACTAATATAATTTGATATTATTAAAAATAAATGATTTTATTCATCGATTTCTTCTTCTTCTTGAAGATTCGATGGTACAAATTTATCTAAAATGACATTTTTTAATTCTAATACCTCATAAGGCCACATATCGAGTAAAACATTATTATTGATTTTTGCTATTTTTATTGCACTGACATGAGGTAGTTTTCCATTATCAATTAAATGACCAATAATAGAGCAATGAACTCCTAAAAAATAATACAAATTGCTTAATTGTTTCAATATTTAATAAAAAAAAATCTTTTATAAAAGGTAATATTGTTTACATTTAACAAACATATATGAAAATCAATTATGTAGTAGTGTT